TGTGTGTTTAAACAGCAGGTGTGTGTTTCAACAGCAGGTGTGTGTTTCAACAGCAGGTGTGTGTTTCAGCAGCAGGTGTGTGTTTCAGAAGCTGGTGTGTGTTTCAGCAGCAGGTGTGTCTTTCAACAGCCGCTGTGTTTCATGGGTTTGTCCTCTGTCTCACCTCTGGCAGAAAGTTTCTTTGTGTTGATGATTTTTGCAGCGTATTCCTGAGCTGACAGAACCTTCACGCAGCGGCGCACCACAGAAAAGGCTCCTCTGGAAACACAGCAGGAGGAACCAATCAGTAGACTACTACAGGTATGTGGCATCCAACAGGAAGATACTGTATTTCTAAGCTTTAAAAGATGAGCAGGTGCATTCTGGGAAACAGCTTGCCCTCTCTTCTTTCCAGCATTACATTAGTTCTCTGAGGTTTCTACTCATTCCTGTTAAGATCATCAAGGTTCATGCTCAATCATCCAGGTAAAAAATCCAACATTTTTAAGTCAGGCCATCTAGACACTTTCTTTTTTTTGTGCTGAAACATTTCACCTTCCATCCAGAAGGTTTCATCAGTCGAAGAAACACACAACACAAAACTGATTCTTCCCCTAAGGTGAAATGTTTCAGCACAAAAAAAGAAACTGCCTAGATGATCAGCACCATGGGACACAGAGCCTTTTGTCACTCTGCTCCCCAACTCTGGAACACTCTTCCCCAGACATCTGTAATATTGACTCCATTCAGACCTTCAAATCACAACTCAAAACTCATCTGTTCACGTTAGCCTTCTCACTTTTATTTATTTTTTTGTTATTTTCTTCTTGGTTTTGTGTGTTTAAAGCCATTTTGTATTGTTTTATTTTGTGTTTTTAATGTTGTGAAGTGCCCTTGGGTATCTTGAAAGGCGCTAACAAATAAAATGCATTATTATTGTTATCTTACTGAAAATTGTTGGATTGTATACCTGGATTATTGAACATGGACTTTGTTGGTTTTGAACCAGTTTGACATGACTGTCGACGAGGGAGAGGGCCAGCACCAGAGGAGGGGGCATGCCAAAGAGACTATTTTAGCACCAACATAACTGGTTTGTTCCACTTTGGCGTAAGCTGTTTGGGGAAAGAATCAGTTTTGTGTCGTGTGCTTCCTTGACTGATGAAGCCTTCTGGATGGAAGGTGAAACGTTTCAGCACACACAAGAAAAAGAAACTGTCCAGATGACCTGACTGAAAATTGTTGGATTTTGTTTGTGACTCCTCTGACTGGTGTAGCCCTTCTGATGGAGGGCGAAACATCTCTCAAAAAAAAAAAAAGAAACTGTCCAGATGATCTGATTGAACATTGTTGGTTATTTTAAGGTCCACAGCTGTTTCAGTCAGTCCAAGGTTCTGAACTATGATGAGACAGTTGCAGCCCTTTGGTTGTTTTTGTTCTGACCCGTTTATGAACAAGCAGCCACAAAGTAAAAAGAAAAATGATCTGAATTGAAGTTCATGTGTGTCAGGTTTTTGTTCTCAGTAAGGGAAGAGTGGAACGTGAGATCAGCAGACTGATCTGTGCAGTATTGTGGAGTCTGTTCTGGTCCATTGTGGAGAAGAGGGACCTGAGCTGCTGGAAAAGTACTCAGTTTACTGGTCGGTCTACATTCTTATGGTCCTGAACCCTGGATAGAGACTGAAAGAACCAGATACTGGATGCAGGAGGTCTACATGAGTTCTCACTGCAGAGTAGCTGGACTCTTCTTAGAGATACAGTAGGGTGAGAAATTCAGTTATCCAGGAGAGACTTGGAGAAGAACCACTCCACATCCAGACATATAGTAAGGATGGACCCTGGACGCCTCTATAAGGAGGTGTTCTGGACAGGTCCAGCTGGGAGGAGACCTCAGGGAAGACCCAGAACATGCTGGAAAGATCTTGATGCATGGTCAATAATCCAGGTAGAAAAATCTAAAAAAGTTCAATCTGGTCCTCGGGACATTCAAAAAAACAAACAACAAAAAAAAAAAAAAAAGCAAAAAGAATATAGAAACATTTCGTCTCTCATCCGAGAGACTTCCTCAGTTTGCTGGAGGAAATGCTGGAAAGACTATGTCTCTCAACTGGTCTGGGAACATCTTGGAGACCTAGAGGAGTCTGGACTTCTGTGATGAAGCTGCTGCCCCTGAGACCTGAGTCCAGAACCAGAGGAGGAAGGATGA